TTAGCAAGCCAGGCTAACATGATCATGCCTGACCATGCTTTAAATTATTGTCTAAGGACCACTAAGGTCCAACAAGAATTTCACTGTGATGTCTGCAGACAGAGGTGGGTATAATGAATTCCTGTGGAGACTAAAGATGTACTGAACAAGCTCATTCTTATAAATACTCTTTCAAAGATCTTTCATATTAAAATAATCCAGAAATGACTAACTGTATGTCCTGCATCATAGGAGTCAACACATTACTAGTAGCTGTCTCTGAAACAACTCTCATCTCCTTGAAGATGGCACAGTGCAAATATCTGATGGAAATTATATACTGGTCTCTCTCTAACACTGTTACTTCAGTTGTGGGCACAGAACCTGAGGCTAGGAAAACCCCTTATGACAGCTTTAAATAAAATAATATTGTGACTTTCTTAGCAGAAATCTAGTAGAAATATATATATTTTAAATCAGTTTGATCAGGGTACAATTATAAACAGACCTGAGCTTTTTTCTTTTCTTTACAGGGCAGTAGCTTTCAAATTCACTGCATGGTTGTTTGTTTGTTGGGTTTTTTGTTGTTTTTTTTGTTTGTGTTTTTTTTTATTTTTTCTTTCAAGTTAATTCAGTGCTTGTGAATAAGACCAAATCATAGCCACCACACTGTAAATCTGTTTGTCTGAGAACAGATTTTGCACAAGCAGTGCAAAATTTTCTTCATAGACTGCCCTGTCATTGTGACATTCACCCGAGAGGGAAAACAACTGTAAAATCCGAGCATGCATTCAGAAAGAGGTGTTGATTTAAAGCCTGATAGAAGGTGGTCAACATTCATTCTATTATATTAAAAACTATCCACTATAAAATGCATAAATTCTATGCTCATATTTCAGATGCAGAGGGTAAATTATTGGGTTTCAAAAAAGCACTCTGTTCTAGTCACAGATACAGAGCTCTGCTTTCTCCAAATCAGCACTGTTTCTGCCTTGATATATGGGGAAACCTCTGAAGATGATGAGGTTTTCTCAGGACCGAGTCAGATGAAAAATACCATATTGCTACATGCACCCTGTACTGCCATAGGGCAGTTGTGACTTACATTTTTCAGCTGGTGGAGATCATAACAAAAAAAAAAATCTGTAGTAGTTTGCATGAGGGCATGTATAATATAACTGAGTTTAAAGAACAAAATGTTGCAAACCACGTAGGTTACTCATTAGCAAGGTAATATCTGGCAAGCTGAGAATATTTAGGGTTTTGCACACTGGAGAACAGAAGAGAAATGGCCATTACCTCAAAGAGGACTTTGGAATCTTTTCCTATGCACCCAGTCTGTGTTCAGTCAAAACTGAAACATGACTGTCTCTGCAAGTTTGAGGACAGCCAGCAAAAATCCTTACTAAGAGCAGCTGTGGAGGTGTACAACACAAGAGATATGTAATGCATGTACACACTAGAAACACTAAGACACACGTATATAAATAGAAGCATGCTACATGTATAACAACTAAAAATTATTGTTAGTATTATCTTGATGATGAAGAACCTATTCTGTTCTTGTCTATTTTGATCTCTTAAACTTTCATATTCTGCCTCTGCATGTCACTATTGAAACACAACAATAAAGAAAGGTTACAGCAAGATTTATAATGTCCTGGTGGGGCTACACCCCCTTGAGCTACCCCTGCATAAGGGCAATTAAAACTGCTACCTTGCTGGTGGTTATAAACTGTCAGGACATGGCCATCCTTGAGGATCTGATACTTGGATGACTCCTGTTACCATCCAATGAGGACTGAGTTTTGGCACAAAAAAAGAATAATGAATTTTTTAAAATTTTAATCCACACATGTGCTGTTTTGCCTGGCCTTTCAGAGCTTCATAGCAGCAGGAAAACATGTAAAACACATCAAAGTACATGAGCAAGCCTTATTTTACAGCAAGTATTCCAGCATTCCTTCAATTTTCATGGGTCACAGGGCAAAGCTGAATTCCAATCTTACTTTTTAGCTTGAGTCTGCTTACATGGATCTCTACTAAAGGGGGCTATTTTGGGTAATCTGGTGGATTTTTGATTCTTCCATGTTGTGCAAGCAGAGGATTTCCGAATATTGATTTAATATTCAGGTTAAATATTTTTAATGTGTCAAAATTAAGCACTATTTCAAGATCTCTAACTGTGAGCTAGAGTAATCCTCATCAGTTTCTAAACTGTATTTTGATTTGCAACCTGACACTTCTTAAGATAGTCATCTAAAAAAAGACATAAAAGGAATTAAGCATATTGGCCAATAACAGCTGACATTACTGCTATAAATAAGTGTTCTCTTACAGGTGGCTTCCAAAATTAACTAGTCACCCCTAATTGTTTAGTGAAATTGTCACCTGATTTAATAGACACATTAAACTCCTATTTATAAATTACTGTGACATTATTAGTGCAACAGTTCTATAATAAGTGATATAAATGCCAATGCACACATCACTATATTGTGTCTGGCTATCATGCCTGCAAGAAGATAAAAACCCTGTGATTTCAGGTCACAAGAAACATCTGCACTTTATCATGTAATTAATATCATTTTAAATATAGCACAGTAGTATTATAATAAGCATTAATTTGAAAACATACAATTTTGGAATAAAGCTAAATTTTGGTAAATATAATCCAAATTTATTTTTGCAATCAATCAAGAACTAAAATGTCACACCTTAAAAATGTTTTGTGATTTTAAAAATTACATAAGATCCAAAGATAATGATTAGCCACCACTGAGTGTATTTTGGTTTGTTGACAATGGTTTGAACTTGTATTAAGCATGGCTTTTAATATCAGGATTTAAAAGCACAATTTCTGTAAAGAACTTCTCCCATTCAGTGCTCTACCATCTTTGAGAGCTTTGTGGAAGATAAAGAGAAAACACTAACATGTCTATCTCGTGTTTTTTTTTGGTTTTGTTTACTTTTAAAGAGATTAGGCACAGAAGACCTATCCAAAAAAATGGAAGGTTCTTTTATCAGGTACATTGAAGGAAAGAGTTAATATAGATAAAATGTATTGTAATAAATATCAAATGGATGCTTAGCAGGTAGTAACATTGTTGAAAAAAAAAGATCATCTGGAATGAATTGGATTATTCTAGAAGCAGGTTTTTTGACTCAATGTTATTGAGGTACTACTTAAACATCCTAATTTATTTTGCCTTTCACCACCAAAATCCTCCCATGTTCTATTTTATCTATTTATTAAGTAACAGCGGTATATGATATTCTGTCAAGAAACATCACTATTGCATGTGCTACACTGCAATTTGATCTTTCCTCATTTTTGAAAATGTCTTTTCTGCAACTTGTAACAGTTCAGAAAAGTCTTAAGAGTTAAAACCATGCCATGTAAATTCATGATAAGCATTACTATTAATGAAAACATCCTATTAGTTCTGAAGTTGCTTATATAGATAATAGTCAATTTTGTCCAAAATGAGTATTATTTTGGCAGCTTAGACCTGATCCTAAATGATTACCCAGACTATCTCACACAAAGGAATAAAGACTAATGAATTACAGTGGTGCAGCATCTCTGTCTTCTGCGCTAAAAGGCACAGCAACCGTGTTAGAGTCCTTGTTTGTATCTTTAGTGAGTGGTCAGAACAAAAATACCTGTTCTAGAAAGTGTAATTTGTATCCATTCAGCATCACAGAGATGCAGTTTTTCATTATGTGATCCCCCTCTCTTCAGACTTTAAAACAAACTCATTTATATTATCTTTTTGTTATTAACATACTGTTTTGTAAATTGTTTTGACTAATATTTTTCGTGTTTAACATCAATGCCTATATGTGTAATATCCAAGTACATTTTTGGCTGATTTGTCAAATCATCTAGTGAACCACATGTAGTCTTTTGCTGTTTTATTCACGCATCCTCTACTTAGACTAGCTTCCTTGAAGGGTAGGAGGAAAATTAATTTTCTGTGAATTTTATTTATATTTAGGAAAAAAAAAAAAACCAACACATTCCCAGCTTTTACATTAAAAAAAAAGTTAAAACATGGTATGAAAGTAAAAACTGAGGCATGATACCTCATTTTTATGGTAAGTGAATTTGAACTTCACTGTCTAGGGAAGTGGCATTTGGAGACCCAGGAAATGAATCCCTGACCTCTTACCTTCATTGAGTAAGGGTCTTTACTTAAAACGAAAATTACACATAGCATCCAATTATATAGTGTGCTATTATTTTTTTCACAACTTGTTCTCAGCTTTATTTTCTGAAAACTCTATTATCTGAATTCACCCTCACACACGCTCCTTGAACAGTTGGCTATCAAATTACTTATGCCTTATTACACAAACAGTGGTCATATAATGAGAGAGAGAATTGCATAAATTCTCTGCATGTGTCTGCACACAGAGCTATAATGCAAGAGTTTGAATTATGAAGCAGTAAAACATATTAGAAATACTTGAAAATATTCTGAACAATCAGAGACAAAAGCAAATGACACAGAGGCATAAGATAACAGAGCAAAAAGCAGGTATTTTCATTAACAAAAAACTGACTGAAAACTGACTTGGAGTAAGCATCCCTATCACAGAAATGACTGTGCATTCTGGGCTAGAGATTTCTGCTTTAAATCTTGTCTCTGATATCAGTCTGCCATTTGTTGCTAAAAATCAAGTATGACGTTACAGTAGATTCAGTTAAAGTAAGCTGTGCACCACAAACTTACCTCAGAACTCCCTTTTTCTTGTTGTTTTATTCCAAAACCAAGGATAAACAAGTAAGAGAAACATACAAAGGTAGAAAGTAAAAGTTATAAACTTGTGCACTAAAAAGAATATTAACATCTATAGTGGCTATATGAGAGGCTGAATGGTGAAGGGAATGAACAGTAAGAACTACTACTGTCAATTGAAGAAGAACTGCCCCACCAGAAACAGGAAAACATTTATAGCACATTTTACTATTTGTTTGTGTCATTTCAAGTTTTAAAGAAATAGTAAAAAATTACCTTTCCCACATACTGAGGTTCGGAGCCCATGTACTCTTCCAGCACAAAAAATTGATTCCACACCCAGCCTCGTTTGACTCGCTGAGCAGATGACCTCCTCCCTGACACTGGGACAACATTTTCTCTTGGCTCTGCTTCTACAGTCTGTTGCGGTTGTGGATGCAGTGGTGTTAGGAGACCTCCATCAAACAAGACCCAGAGAAGCAGGGATAAGCAGTTCCTTGTAAGCATTGGCAACAGCTTCCCTACAGCAAGTAATAAAAACTCCAGCACTTAATGCAGAGCAGAGGAATCCAGGTTTGAGGTGTCTGTGGCCTCCACCACTTCGCTTCTGATTTTACTGCAGAAATGCTAATGCAAGCATTAATCCTTCCGATGACAAGGTTTTTGCCGCATTAAATTCCATCTAAAGGGACCTATAAAAGAGATTTACATGGCAACATCAAATTACATAAAATTACATTGAAGCGTTCATCAAAATTCTCACACCTAGTTAGTTTATAGAGACAGAGAAAAAAATTAGGAATCACAGTTTTAAAAGACTGCTATTTTGATTGTAGCGTTGAGCTGCTCTAGAACATTGTACAGTTATTACAGGAATAGTTCATTCTTGATCTGCTTATCATTACCTCTGTCTGTCTGAGGACAGGCCTCTAGCTTTTGCTTTATGACCCAGTTATCAGATAAAATTGTTACCCATCAGTGATGTCAAAAAAATTTACTCTGGATGGACACAGAAAATATTGGGGAGGAGAGGACCCACTCTTCCATCCTACTGTCCAGAGCAGGAATGCTTTGCTTGTTGTCTCTGCCAGAAAAGCATGTTGGAAGCATCCCCTTCTGTCTCTGGGTGGACTTGGACAAAATTTATACTGAACCTTGAAGCCTGGAGGATAGATCTGTATGAATTCCATGGAAAATTAAAAAATGGGAAATAGTGCCCATCCAGCTAAATGCCACAAAGCTCTCAACACACAATATGAAGTCTATGACTGATATTCTCTTCTCACAACAAGCCTTGTATCAAAATGATAGTTGTGTTATTCTTCAGGTCTACTGTAAAGTACATGAAAAAATGCAGGCCTGATACCCAGCAAAAATGTGAGAACTGCAGTCAGTGTAGAAAATGAAACAACACAGAAGTAAGCTAAGTGACAGTCATTTACACTGACAAATGACAGGTACACAGATTAAAAATAAATCAGTGCTAACTAACTACAGGGCTGAGACAGAACTATCACATCAAGGTGACAATTAAAACTCCGGTGATTCTTGTAGCAGCCAAATGCCATCAGCAAACAAGGAGGAAAAAAAAAAAAACAACCTAAAGGAATTGTTATTCTCTCACATTGCTCTGCTTATACCAGCACAGACCATTTTAACAGAAAGACAGGAAAATATACTGTTTTCTAGCCACAGTATAATTAACAGACATCCTTTCTTTTTGTATTTATGGTATGTTCTGATTCATTATCTACAATTAATAAAATGACAGTGCTAAATAATCTTAATATTTAAATATTAGGGATGTAAATATTAAAAAATTATGGAATATGAAACAAGTTTAATAAAATGTAGCTCTAGCTGCCATTTGAAACTTTATGCCAAATTCAGCAGCAATAAAAACTGGTGAAAATGAGCACTCACACTATCTAAAAATGCTGTGATCCAGCCATCAATAAAGACACCGTGAAGACTGCTAAATCTATGGAATCCATGCTGAAACAAATGGAGCTATTCTAGAATTTAGAATTAGACAATAAACAACATCACAACGCATCTACATTCATTTTCAGGTCAGATGCAGTAAGTACTGAGGCAACATGAAGACTTAGCGTTTATTTTCCCCCATGTTTCCAAGCTATTGATCTTTCTTTTAATAGAATGAATTAATGGATTCCATGAAGCTATCGTTGCCTATGCTGGCCCTGATGAAGGTGTAATAAATGAACTGTCACACTTCCATAAGGCCCAGGACATCTGTTTAACAAATACACTTTCCCTTCCATAGCTCTTCTTCATTAGGGGTGTATGACTGGCAGGCTGCATGTTGTACTAACTTGAATAGAAGGGGATCAAAGTTGTTTTCTGACAACTAACATTTCCATAAACCACAGCTCTACGCTAACAAATTTTTAATCCCACTATGGATTGAAGATAAGAATCAATTAATAATCTTTTCTCATTAAGATCTACAACCTAGAAATGAAGTGCCAGCCTACTCTATAGTCTGCTGGTTGTCAGGTACAAGAAATAGTGCTTGATGATTTAAAGATGGATGCATTTTACATTTCAAAAACAAAAATACAATTTATATCACTGTGGAATTCACCACTTACTTAGGGACATATTGTGTCATTGATTTTTAAACAGAAGTTTCTACCAAATCAATGAAGAGTTCTGCTTAAAAAAATCAATGACACAATATGGACCTCAGAAAAGAAGAAACAGTAAAGTACCTAGCCATACATAATTTTAGTTTTCAAACACTGTCAAAGGTTATATTTTTCTTCTGAATAATATTATTACTATCCATAACAATAAATAACGTAGAAATTTTCATTTCTTAGGTACATGCTGAAGTATCTAATTAGAAAGGATTTGCAATTGGGAGCCTGGAAAACCTAACACATTTTGAAGAAGATAAAAAAAATCCTAGAAAAATAACAGCACTTCCTATTCTAAGTTTAGAGTAAGATTTTTCTGTTCTGATTAGAAAAGCTATGTCTTAGGTCTTAATAAAGTAAAAAATGTAGTGAAAAGGTATATAGTGCAAGTGAGTGTTTTAATTCTACCTTCAGAAAGGATTAAAAATGAGGGAGGAACTATCTGGTCATGATCTTTTTTTTTAAAAAAAATAAATTTCTAAGTTGTGCTCAGGACAGTTCAATTTTTTTTCCATCTAGAGTAAATTATCCCTAGTTAAAATAGGACAAACTTCCCACCTGAATTATCATTTGTATCTTATGGATTTTATTCCAGCAAAGAAACTAAGACAAGACCCTACCACACTAGAGAACTGTACTCGATATTATTATATTTGGTATGTATTTCTATTGGCAGGGGTTTTTTATTTAACAATACACATGACTTTTTGTGCTTCTCCTTTCAATGCATTCAGTGGTATCTATCAGGTTCAGACCGTGTTCATCCATAATTCAGTTCCAAGACTTCCAAATTCCTGATACTCTCCTGATCCATGGTCACAGGGTGCAGGCCTAGTTTTTATGGCAAAATCATCTTAACTATGAAACATAACCAAAAAAAAAAAAAAAAAATAAAAAAAAAA